GCGGAGCAGCTGTAGAATTACTTTCAGAATTTTGTTATTAACATACCGTGATTATTTTAAGAAAATCAAATAAAACATTCCCATAAGAGTTGTGTCAATGATATGAAATACATTATGCTACAGATAGTATAATACAAATCTCAGAAATTATCAGCCTAATATAGAAAAAATCGTTATATCCTTCATTAATTACATTCCCCCAACGAATGTCACAGGACTCGGCCCCGAGCCACCTGCACCCATATAGAACTAAAGTAGTCAATAACACAAAATATGCCTAAAATAATTGCGAAGTGTAGCTAACGACCATGTGGTGACGGTGTTAGAAAATCTGCTACACTTATTCCGTCCTATGGGTGTCACAAGAGGTGAATATGAGAAATAAAAAATTATGGCTTCCATGTAACTATAGAACCATCTACGTACGCCTGGTTAAAAAATACTCACACCAGTCACAGTATATAACATGTATCTTTATTTATACCGCTTAATAATTTTTTTCTGAAAGCGTAAGCTGTTGGTCCTGCGGCCTTTACAGCTTCATCGAAGTAGACACACAGTGAGGAATCACGAGCTGTTGAGTGCAACGATTCTACCGTCGGCGAGGCGGCGCGAAGTGATTCGGTGACTGCAATCCCGAGGCACCCCGGCCCCTGCTTTTGGAGTGAGGGTTCTGCAGCTAGAGGGGGGAGGGGCTCGATGTGATTCAAGGGTCCCTCTGGAGGAGGTATGGACCTCGGCTTGAACCACTATCGAAATGACGGGAAAACGGGTCTTAACTTAAAACGTCCCGTATCTCGGTTGTTAAACATCGTATAAGGAGTGTGTGTATGTCCTCGCGCCCGCCGGCGGGCGTTGTGTGCCCTATTGTTCTGTGCTAGTCTAGTATCTGAATGTGAATGTGTAGTGCCTATACAAACACCCTCTCCAACGGAGGGGGGGACGGGATCGATCTGTTTCTTGAGGCGGATTATGGTGGCGGCAGCATCCGCCTCTGGAGAGTACGAACCTGCCTCAACCACCAACGGATTTTGGTGCTCTTTGATTAAACTGAAGTATCTTAAGGATAATTTCTTAAGATAGGAAAATATGCTAGGAACCTTGAGGTCACGGTGAAGATCCACAATCCTCACATATAATGGAGCTCCTGTGATACGATGCAGGAACTTATTTTGGACAACCTGAAGTTGTCGAATTAGATAAGGCTGAACATGAGCAAAGACACACCTACGTATGTCATAATTGGACGTACACAGGTTTTATAGAGATGCAGCTTGTGTCTTAAGGACAGCTTGCTGCGTTTATTGTTAAGGCAAAGAGACGTTATACTACAATTTTCGCCTTAATTACGACTGCTTTTACGTGATGAGAGAAACTCATTGCATGATCCAACGTTACCCCCAGGTATTTCACCTATCTAACCCAGGGAAAACAGTTATCATAGAGGGAGAGTCTGCACTTTCTGTGTCGCTCGAGTTTGAGGATTAACCTTTCATAGCAAGTTTTTTTGTTAAACATCGTCTTGCTTTTATCAGGATTGAGTTTTATTCTCCACTTTCTGCACCAATCACCCAGGCACCTTATGCGTTTGCTGTAGCTTGGAGACGAACACATACCCTGCGTGAATTGTGATCCGAGGAGTTGCTTAATTATTCAACCTTAACTCAAATATATATTCACGTGGGGGCTACACTAAACTACAAGTAAATAACGTCTAAAGTACGACTTCTATTACTGCGATCGTCCATTCCAATTTCCAGCATTGAAATTTTACAGACTAAGGAAGAGTAAAAGGAAGAAGGAGCAGCTAACGATCACCAGTATGATTATTTTGATGATGATTATAAATTTGGTAAAACTTAAAACGAATCTCTAAGTAGTTCAGAATTTTTAAAATGAAATAAGTGTAGAAATTAAAAATTTTGTTCAATTGACTTCAATATAAATAAACGGAAAACATCGTCAATATAATCAAAATCAATTGAATATGCATTATTAAGGATAACTGAAAAAATACTGCTCATATCTTAATCAATTTAATATAGGACCACATAAGAAGCATCAACTTTCAAATACAATTATTAGAATTCGTTCAACTAGAAAACAGTTTTGAGGTAACACACATAAAACAAATACAGTCGAATTAAGTACCTCTTTCTTTTTGAAGTCGGTTAAAAGTAACTTGCAATAAAAAGTAAAAGCTGGTGCCAAGACAATGTATAGAAAAAATAAAACTAAAAATTCAGTGTGGAATTATTTTATTCTTCTTAGTTGTTTGAAGTTGGTTTTTATTTTAAATTAAAAAAAATAACTTTTGAGTAGACTAAGAAAAATAAAATATACGACAGTAAGAGATGCAGGAATTTGATGAATACCGGTGACTCAGAACTATGCTTCGTGGAATGCATGCATGCTATTTGGGGGAGGGCTTTTGTTCAGCAGAGGACTTGTGGTAGGGTTGTAATGATGATGAAGGAATAAATCTAAATATTTTCTACTTATTAACTACTTTAATAATTCATCAAATGATTTGCTACTCTTAAGGACGGAATATTTTTCTAAACTTATATGATCCCATCACCCGCAAAACCGTACCGTAACTTATTTAACAAAAGTATGATCGTGATTACGAAGGTGTTAACGTGACATTCATACAAAAAAACATGCAGTCGAATTTTAAGCCCTTTCCTCCTACTTCTGTTTCTATGTCAGCTAAAAACTTTTTTAATATATACTATTTGGTTTGATAAAATATTTAAAAAAAAATATGATATATTTATTTGCTGTATGGTGGCGACTACGTAACGAGTCCGAATAAGTATCTAAACTTTCCCAAACTCAAACAAACACAAAAAAATTAATCAAAGTCGTTCGACTCGTTTGTGAGTTTTAGTTAGACTAACGGACTGCAATTGATTTTTATATATAGGAAAATTATATAAAGTATTTTACGTCAAAGGAGTCATACATTTTTTTACAATATTTAACAGTTGGAAGAGGAACTAGGAGTCATACATTTTTTTACAATATTTAACAATGCCATTGTTTAAATCGTTGTGATCTCAAACATCATTGTATAAATTCTTTTTCATACTATTGTTGTATTTTGAATTTATTTATTTATTACCTCTTCTTGGGCCAATAGTGCGACTTTTTATCAAGTTTAGTTAAATATATCTTAAAGTGAATATTTGTGCAAACATATCGAATGTATATAGGGTCTCGGGTCGGGATGGTTCTTGATATGGGTCTGATAATGTCGTGATTGTCCTTGTCGAATGACACTACTGTTAATATTATCGCCGATCTTATTGTGTTAAGAGTACAATGAAAAGTTATTGCTTATTGATTAAAACTACTTTTGCGGATTTTATTACGTTTAATTTTAATTATTTTAATTTTTAATTCTCGACATTTCGGGTGCTTTCGGGGGACTGAGGTGACTGACGTCCCGATCTCACTCTTAAGCACGGAGTACCTTTTAACAATGACATCGGGACGTCAGTTACCTCAGTCCCCCGTGACCATGGGTGCTGGAAAGCACCCCAAACGTCTGGAATTAAAAATAAAAATATTTAAAATTAGTATTAAACGCGATAAAATCGGTAAAAGTAGTTTTAATCAATGTGTAGTGTTCGCGTAAATATAAGAAATCATAACGTTATTACTAATATCGAAAAAAATAAGCTTGAGCAAAAAAGGCACATAAAAATTGTGACTTAATTTTAATAATGCAGAAGGTTGAAGGTACATGTAATGAAAAAAAGTGATCATAAGAAGAATATTACACTTTCATTAAATATGCTGCCAACCACTTTCCTGCGGGACCAAACTATAAATAAATAACTTCTTACGGAATTGTATGTTGTATTAACTTCAAGCAGCACTATCGCAAAAGCGTTGAGTATAAAAAAGTGAAAATATGCCCTTTAACCTTCTTTTCATTACGACTACGTGAGGTTTTATTTAACTAAAACATTAATATGAAAGCCTTTATACTAACTCCGCTTTTAGTAAGCTGCAGGAGCTTTAATGAAAAGTGAGGATGAGTTTTGAGGTTACTTAAATGATTTACAAATTACTTATTCAATCAAAACAAGCTTAAAGTAAAACCCAACTGCTTAAATTTTTTCCTACAATCAAGACAAATTTAATAACACCTGATACGTTAAATCCATCAAGCCGTTTAGGCTACAGAGCGTGTCAAAAATTGATACATATACATATAAAATTTAAAAAAATTACCCTTCTTCAGGGGGCTGTCGGGTAAATACATTCTTCTTTCTTTGTCAGCTAGAAGAAATCGGGAGTTCAGAAGTCGACTGCTGGATATGAGCCTCCAAAAATGTAGCAATTGACGATCGCAGTTCTAGATGTTTCGCACTTTTGACGTTATTTTTTGTCGCCGGTGTAGGTGTTTCATGCCCGGTGTTAGCGAGATGGTCATACCACTATATATTTTAAACAAGCTAGAGCCACGCTGCCGCTATTTTATGGCTGCGGCATGAATAGGTCAGCTCCACCGGGGCTCTCACAAAATGTGTATGTGTGTGTAAGTATTTCGTATAGTGAGTGTGGAGGAAATAAGGCTCTTTTTGCAGGTGTATTCTCTCTTCGTCCTCAAGGGTGTCAACACACCTGCAATTTGATTCTTACTCGGGGATATATGTAGATATCTATGGGCTCCGGTATTCACTTATCAGGTGGAATGTGTACTCGTTTGTCAAACTTATTCTATTAGAAAAAAAAACATTCGTTATCTATTCCTTTCAGCCACACATTCGTAAAATTCACTGCTAAACATAGTCCTCCCGTAAAGATTCCTATCTAAGGGTATCCGCCTTACATATTTTTGTTACTTTTAATTTCTTGTACTTCACTGAAACGAAACAATAACGCTTTTTAAAACATCTCTTTATCTCCATGAAACAATCGTTAATATTTTCGCGCAAATTTCGACGCTTTATTTTTATGTTTAAAGTAATAATGGGGTATGCTCAATGGACATGTTTTTGAAAGTAAAGGTAGTAATAATATAAATTAAATTCAAAATTTCGAAATTTCCCTAAACAAAAATAATTGTCAAAAGGCTGAAAAGAATTTTTTGAATCATAGCTATCGATCAAGTCACCTTTCACGCCAAATCTAAATTAGTTCGTGCGTTTGCGAGCTCCGATTCCGCAGAGAGAGAGATACACAGATAGAAAGATACACATAGGATCAATAGAGAGATACACATATAGAGAGATACACACGTTAAATATATAACACACCTCTATATAGGTCGGGGGGTAAACAACCCCCGATAACCCCCGTATTTAAATACGACAAAGGTTTCTCACGTCGCTTCCTGTCTGCCACCAAACAGCAGTCGATCGACTGCTATTTTCCATTTTGATCAGTAAGGATTATGCTAATTACTAATGGTAGAACCTATATTATTATGGTTGTATGCTGCGGTCTGCATATCGGTAAGATGATAACTTCAGTTTTTACGTTGTTTGCAATTTTTCTATGGATAGGCATTTTATCAACTAACTTTTCATTGATTTCTCTAATGGTACTATAATATCTTTATATTTCCCTCGCCAATTCATAAACATCAGATCAGCACGGTCAACCAAACGACGCCTAGCGTAATACGATCAAAACTTGGTTGATAGGAGCTCAGCACTTCATGGAATTTAAGTCGGTTTTGCACTCGTCGATCCGCATATCCAGCATGGTGATTCGCCTATCAAGTTGTCAACTATATCAAAGAATAAATATTGAACAAATTCTGAGTAAGTTTTCACGTTGTAGAGCCACGCTGCAGCTAAACATAGTTGCAGCACCAATGGGATGACTCAACCGTCACGGAAAAGTAGCGTAGTACAGCAGAATAGTAAAAGGGTAAAATATTATTCTGTGAGGACTTGGGTTTTTCCAGATCGAGCCGTCTCATTCGTGCTACAAACGTAATATAGCTGCTGTAAATATGGAGCAATTAGTCTTTTTGCGCCGCTCGTTTACGATTTTAGTGCATACTGTAAGATATGCATATTTCCTTACGATGTTTTTCTTCACCGCCGAGTACGAATTATTTAAAATTGCAATTAACAATTTGGGAATAGAACTTGGATCAATTTTTATGAGATTATTCCTAATGGTATTAGGTGGTAAAATCAAGTGCTCAGCAGTTGGTCGTATTTAAGCTAAAAATTAACTTTTTATAGAAAATGAAAGTGAGATCATAAATATAAAACAAATATTTAAGAAAAAACCTCATTTTTAGTGTTATATTTTAACAACAGACCCCTCCAGTAGAAACAGCTGTTAACGAGTTTTATTACATAGCCCTGAACCCTAGTATTATGGTAGTTTAGGGGAATAATTCAATATAAATTCAGTAAAAAGGTCATCTGTATTCACCATGAATTTATCCATTGCAAAAGTTTTAACATCAAGCTCGCTAGTTCATTATCACCGAGCTACTGTCCTAATCAGTTTTATGAATATAAAAAAAAAAATTGTATTTTGATGTGGTAAAATAATTAAATTATAATTTTTAATTTTGCTTTAATTTATGTTTGTAAGAAAATAATATTATTTTTTATAGGATTGGATGACAAATAAGCACACAGTCCACCTGATTATAAGTGGTTGCTGTGGCCCATATACATCTACATGTATCCTCGATTACGAATCAAAATGCAGATGTGTTGTTACCCGTGAAGACTAAGATGGAATGCCTCGTTCCAGTAAAATGGGTCTCCGGTTCTCTACACTCACCATACGAAACACAGCAGCATTAAGCTACTATTTCACGCTGGTATTCTGTGAGAGCGTGGATCTTCCCCGGTCGAGCCGACCCATTCGTGCTACAATTATACTACTAATATAATTACAGCATGGTTCTATCACTAGCAAACTAATAACGTATTTCTATTATCATTTTAACAGCCTTTCATAAGTCAACTGCTGAAACTATCGGTATGACTTATGAAAGACAAATAAACATAAACACTCACGCCTGTCACCCAGAAGGGTAGGCAGAGACTACCGACTTCCATTTGGCACGATCCTGACACACCTCTCTCGCCTCCTTCACATCCATATTCCTATCCAATCGTCGTCGTCAGACGAGCCAATATTTTTCGGGAATACGTCTCCGAGTAGCAGGACAAACTTATGTCTGAAGTCGAGTATTTGCTGAACAAAGTCTCGGATTAGGGGCGACTAAATCTGGTTCAGTTTAACCCTCAGAAGACACAAGTTTGCGCGTTTGTCGTATGTCCTCAGTTTCAAGGCACTCCCCTTGTTGCCTCAGCCAGTATCGGAATCCTCGGCGATGACATATCGAGTGACATGCAGTTTCTTGGTCACTTGGAAGAAAAAGCCAAATTGGCCTTAAAAAAGCTTGGCGTGCTCAGCAGATCGGGACAGTAATTCATGCCGGCATACCGCCTGCAATTTTACAAGGCGCAGGTTCGGCCGCACATGGTTCCTATCTCTGTGCTGGGGCTCCCCAGTGCCAGCTTCTTCCACTTGACCGCATTCAGCGCAGTGCGGCTCGAATCGTCGACGACCGAGTGCTTTCCGATCGGCCTCAGCCAGTATCAGAATCCTCGGCGTCGACATATCGAGTGACATGCAGTTTCGTGGTCACTTGAAAGAGAAGGCTAAATTGGCCTCCAAACAGCATTGCGTGCTCAGCAGAGTGGGACAGTATTTATCAGCAACGCACCTGCAATTCCACTGGTGTTTTAGTTGTCCATGGACGGTGATAGTCACTTAACATTTGTGTGGCAAATAAATACTTTTTATTTATTTATTTATTTAACATCAGGTGAACCGTATGCCCCTTTCGCCCGTCTCACACAAAAAAAGCAATCTAGTGAGGGGCCGCCCCATACTTTGCTTACGTTTATACGTTACGGTACGATGCTGCCTTACTTTAAAAACTTTCTAGACCTTTAGTTATCGGATACAACTTACTTTTTTTTTTCATTGTCAGCTGCCGCAGCTCAGTTGCTTTGCGATTCAAAATGTGACCATCAGTATTGTTATTGTTAAAGATAAAGTCTATCATACAACATACTGAGACCGATACAGCCTAATAAAGTTCACTGCTGTACGTAGGTCTCCCCATAATTGCTATAGTTACCACGCGTGGCAAGCGGGTTGGCATTCGCAGTTTTTTATTGTTAGTCGTTATTAAGTAATCGCTGCTACCCATCTCCTGATTTGTTTCCCTCTGTTGCATCTTACGACATGCACGAGATGATACAGGTTAGTGGATGCTCCTCACCATACAGCCCGGTGTCATACAGTTTACTGCTAAATATATCTGTAAATTATTCTTAAGAGTTTTAAAAGGTCCAGTAGAATCAATAAAACGATTAATCTACTTATAACTCGTCTCTCTCAGCACTGTAATATTTTGTCATTGTGATATGTCCGATAAGTAAGTGGTCCTTTGTAGATCAATACCGATCCACTCTTGTAGCATTTTATTATAATATAGCTGCAGAGTGACTTTACCACGTAACAAAATAATGGTTTCCGTAGACAATTCTTTCAGCCTATTTCTAACAGTTTCCCACTAACCGTCCCATATTTTATATTTCCTTAGATAAAAAGTCGCGACTTAAACAAGAAGTTGCGCAGTTTTATATCCCTAGCGGCTTATATTCATAAGTCATATCGTTCCAATAGTTCCGAAAAACACAGGAAGAAAGCTTGCTAAATTTAAAATATTATTATTATATTAAATAATGGTTAAAATATTGATCATTGAACTTTAAATGTCATAAAAACTATAAATGCATGGAAAATAAATGGAGCTCGAAACAATTTTTAATATGTGAAATAAATATTGCTGTTTGATATTATTATTTTGTGCGTGTCGAGAATAATGAAAAATATGAACTGAGGTTGCTGACCTATTATTAAGGAGATTCATAATCATCATCATCATCACCATCACTACTGCCCTTCACAAGTCCACTGCTGAGTCCCCCAAGGTATGCCACAAAGCACGGTCCTGAGCCACCTGCATCCATCGACTTCCTGCATGTCTTACCAGGTCGTCACTCAATCTAGTGGGGGATCGGCCTACACTTCGCCTAATGATACGAGCCTGCTGCTTGAGAACCTATTTTTCCCAACGGTTGTCGGTTCTTCAAGCTATATGGACGGACCATTGCCACTTCAGCTTACTAATCCGTACGTAGATTATCCTTTGAAAAATCTAAAAAAAAATACAGCAAATCTGTAATAATGAAAAGACATACACATAAACACTTACGCCTGTCACCCAGTGGGGTAGGCAGAGACTACAGACTTCCATTTGGCACGATCCTGACACACCTTTTTCGCCTCGTTCACATCCATATACCTACGCAAACATGCTCGTCCGTTAAGGGTACTCCTAATTTGGCCCGTTTTCAATAAATAGCTAACTTGGTCGACAAATTTTCGCCTAGGACGTCCCTTTCAGACTTTGTCATTCACTTCTGCAACATAAATTTTGTTTGTCACTCTTTCTTCATTCATTCTTTCCACATGACCAAACCACCGAAGCATTCCTTTCTTAATCCTGGTTATAACATCATCTTGCAAACCATACGCTTCTCTTATCACACAATTTCTCAACCTGTCATTCAGATTCAGCCCTAACATACTCCTTAACACCCAACTTTCATTACCATACGTTAAAGTAGGGACCAACACAGCATTGTGAATTGCCATACGTGCCTTTTTCGATACTTTTTGACTCTTCACAATAGAGTGCAGGGCCCATTTACTCTATTTCCCGCATTCACTCGCCGTTCTATTTCCTTATCATACTCGTATCTCCCATCCCTGCTAAATACGCAACCCAAATATACAAACTCGTCTACTTACTCGATCAACTCCCCTTATACTCTTATTTCACAAATCGTTTTACTTTCTTCTCTTTCAAAGACCATAACCTTCATCTTACTTGCGTTCATTTTCATACCACTTTCCTTTAATAATCTGTTCATTAATGTTACCATCATTTGCAACTCGGCCACCGATCACGCAAGAAGAACTTGATCATCGGCGTACAAAAGGCATTTGACGGTTAACTCACACATTCTTAATCTGCATTCTTCAACTTTCAAATTTTGCAAACAACTTTCAGAACAGAACTTCAACAGCAGGTTCAAGAGTTAAGTAAAAACCATAAAAACGTAGTGAATTTGGACACAGTGATAAATGAAATTCAGGAAAGAAAAAATCGTAGTCGTAATCTTATTGTGTTTGGAATACCTGAATCTACAGCAAATTCACCAGAAGAAAGAAAATGTCATGATAAAGACCAGGTTTCTAAAACTATAACGTCACTGGCAACTCCAGAACCGGAAATTCTCACTGTCATCCGTTTGGGTAAACCTGTATCCAAAATTGAAAAGCCGCGTCCTATCAAGGTAGTCCTGGCCAATAAACATAATGCTATAAATGTTCTGAAAAATAAAGAAGGTAAGCTGCCAAACTCTGTTAAGGTAAAGACTGATATGACACCATATCAAAGAGATCAACTTAAGACACTTCGTGAAGAACTAGCAGCTAGAACCGAAAAAGGTGAGCAAAATCTTACGATCAAATATATCAATAACATACCAAAGATTATAACAACTACAAAAAACTAGCACATCATAATATCACAGAACTTCGCATACTATACACGAATTTGGCTTCCATTATGGCAAAATTTGATTTATTTCTTCTTGAAGTTAATACACATAAACCTGCTTTTATTTTGATATCAGAAACTCATTTACATTCTGGAATTGATGACAGCCTTATAAATATAAACGGATATACGCTCTTCCGGTTGGACAGAAGAGAAAGAAAAGGGGGAGGAGTAGCAATGTATGTTGCACATGACGTTAACAATGTACCTGTTATATCAAAAGTGAATAAAATATATTATAATTCTTTGGTTGAGGCATTATGGCTAGATATACACTATGGATATTTAGATTTACTTTTAGCTTGTGTGTATCGTCCTTCTTCAAATGTTGATTAACAAGTGCTGATGAAATATTATTTAACACCATAGAAAAGGTAGCCTCAAAGCAGACAGTGATTATTCAGGTGATTTCAACTTACCAAATATAAAATGGCCTCTCGATAATTTAACCGGACATAACAAGCTATGCGAAAGCTTTATAGCAATGTATTCAAACAGTAATCTCAATCAGCTTGTAACACAAATCACAAGGAAACGTAATAATGCAGAATCCCTACTAGATCTTATACTGTGTAATGATGAAACTGTAATAACTGATATTAAGTATCTTCCGCCCATTGGAAAGAGTGATCATTTGGTCATACTGGCTTCTATGCAGATAATTAATAACGATAGTAAAGTGCCGATAAAAAAAGATTTTTGATTTTTATAAAGCTGACTATAACAAAATTAACAAATATTTAGCAGAAAACTTTAACATAATTGGAAACCAAGTAGATGAAATGTGACTATCATTTAAAAATCAAATACATACATCACTTGAAAATTGTGTAAAAAATCACAGAAAATAAATAAATCAAATAAGAAACCATGGATAAATAAGGAAATTTTTGGATTTAACAAAACGGAAAAAAGAGTTATGGAATATATATATTATTAATAAAACAGAAGATTCGTACCGAAAATTTAGAAATATTAATCATAAAATTATTAAACTGTCGAAATATAGAAGAGCTCAATTTGAAACAAATGTTATAGACTCTGGACCGAAAGCTTTCTACGGATACATTAGAAGACAACATAATTCTAAAGTCACCATTCCTAACATGCTTAAAACCCAGTCACAAGAACTTGTAGAGGAACCACATAAAATCGCAGAGCTGTTTGCCGATCAGTTCGTTAATAGCTATGTAAGAGAACCAGATGGACCAATTCCCTCCATAAACATGCCAATGGTAACAAACTCAATTGATGACGTAAAATTTACAACCAAATTCGTACTAAAGACCTTGTTAACCTTTGATGATGCTACTGCTACTGGTCCTGATGGAATACCATCTATATTACTAAAGCGGTGCTCATCATTGCTTGCAGAATATATATCAAGCATTATGAACAAATCCATGGAGGATGGACGCTGTCGTAAAGCGACAATTAAAAACTAAATAACCTAACCTAACTACAACAAAACAACCAAAAATAAAATAAATTATTTAAAAATTTGAAAAGATTTACAGTTTCTTTTATAAAAAAAGGTATGAAGGTGATGATGGGCTGTAATGATGATAGTGATTTACAATATTATTAAAAAAAAATAACAAAAATAAAGATACTGCAACGAAGTATGCACAGGCTATGCCTATGATAGGTGCACAGCGCCTGCTCTAGGTACACGCAGAATCTGGAGAAAGCACATGCAGCGTCTGGAGAAGGTACACGCAGCGCTTGGAGTAGGCACACGCAACGCCCGGAGCAGATACACGCAGCACCCGGAGTAGACACGCAGCGTCTGGAGTAGGTACACGTGGCGCTTGAAGTAGGCAAACACAACGTCCGGAGTAGACACACACAGCGTCCGGAGTAGACACGCAGCGTCTGGAGTAGGAACACGCAGCGCTTGAGACAAGCACGCTCAGTGGCCGAAGATAGCGCGGGCACTAATAGGTGGAGGCGTAGGCGTGGCTAGGCGACGACTTCAGGAGAAGGCTTGCAAGATCCCGAGGCAGTGCGGATAAAGCCTTTAAGAGGTGCTTCTCGTATCAAAGCTGAAGTGAGGACCTCTATCGGCCGATTCTTCGGCTTTTATACTTTTTGACGGATCTGGGATAAGAACGAGAAATTATTTGAAATTATTTAAATTAAAAGCAAATTTTTGTAAATGGCCAAGAAGAAAAGAGTATTTTTGAAGTAAAAACATCAGGCCGGTAACAATATTTGAATAAAAATTGCCACGACAACCAGATAAACAACGAAGTCAAAACATGTCAAATTTTGGTTTTAAGCTCGTAATACAGAAACGGCAAGATTTAAGTGAAAAATGAGATATTATTTATATAGGAAAAAAGGTAGCGCAAGAGCGCGCACGAAACCCGAAATTGTAGAGTTACGGAGAACTAAATAAAAGATCGAAAAAGGTAGACTCCATTGACACCGATTTAAAAAGTGCTGATAACGTGAAAATACGAAGTGAAAATGATTTGTTATTGTGTTCTTATGAATTAAAAATATTACAGGATCCTATGGAAATAAAGGTGATGCAAAATATCCAGTTTTGAGGTGAATGTAGAAAATCAAAAACAGAATGGAAAAATAAAAATAAAATAGTGTAAAATGATATGTAAGTATGTATGTAAGCATAACACTACATTTTCCCCCCGACCCTGGAAAATTTTTGACTCAGCAAAAATTTTGATATGTACATTCTAAAACAAACCATAAAAACACAGCTTTGCAGTAACAGACATCACCAGGCAAAATCAGATATACCATCTCTTACATTCATCATCTGCATTCAGGTAAGGGTGGAGTTCACATTCAATGACTACCACTCTAAAAGTGTGTTTTCGAAAGGACATTCAGGCTTATTTAAGGAGTTGTCATCCGCTCCTGCGTGGAAAAAAAAATTCGAAAGGACATCCAGGCTTATTTAAGGAGTTGTCATCCGCTCCTGAGTGAAGATAAAGTTAAAGAAATTAATCTTAAGCAAGCTTTAGTCGCTATGACTTAAGTAAAGATTAAGAACGGCCAGAGCGGTAGGGCTCAAAGCCAGAGATGAGCAACATCACTAAAAGTACATTCAGGCTTATTTAAGGAGTTGTAATCCGCTCCTGAGTGAAGATAAAGATAAAGAAATTAATCAGGTAATAATTATACATATATACAAACACATATACAAATATACAAACACATATACAAATATACAAACATATATACAAATGTAGTGTCATGCAAAACAGTATTAGCTGGTTCCTCACATCTAATCTTCACTTCGTATTATGGCTTAAGGAATTCGTACTTAATAACCCTTTTCATTGTTATAATTAAGTGCAAAGTTAAGTTTAAGAAATAAAAATGTAATTAAAAATTGTACCTCTTTAAGTTATCTAGAATAAAAATATAAAAGTGATGAATGAAGTGAAGTGTTATATGTAAGTCTAAATATAATCCAGGTAAGTTGAAAAACTAGATGAAGTTTTGTTTTAGAATTTGGAAGATAGTACCTCTTTTAATTCTCTAGAATAAAAATATTAAGGTGATGAATGTAAGTGTTATATGTAGGTCTAAATATAATCCAGATAAGTTGAAAAACTAGATGAAGTTTTGTTTTAGAATTTGGAAGATATGATAAGGATGAGTAAATAAAGAGTTAAGAATGAAAGAGAAAGCAATTCAATCAAAAGGAAATGGATAAGGCGTAGCTAAGGTGAAGAAAAGAAGAACTTTTACGTCGGGCGCCAAATTGTCGTAAAGCGACAATTAAAAACTAAATAACCTAACCTAACTACAACAAAACAACCAAAAAATAAAATAAATTATTTAAAAAATTTGAAAAGATTTACAGTTTCTTTTATAAAAAAAAGGTATGAAGGTGATGATGGGCTGTAATGATGATAGTGATTTACAATATTATTAAAAAAAAATAACAAAAATAAAGATACTGCAACGAAGTATGCACAGGCTATGCCTATGATAGGTGCACAGCGCCTGCTCTAGGTACACGCAGAATCTGGAGAAAGCACATGCAGCGTCTGGAGAAGGTACACGCAGCGCTTGGAGTAGGCACACGCAACGCCCGGAGCAGATACACGCAGCACCCGGAGTAGACACGCAGCGTCTGGAGTAGGTACACGTGGCGCTTGAAGTAGGCAAACACAACGTCCGGAGTAGACACACACAGCGTCCGGAGTAGACACGCAGCGTCTGGAGTAGGAACACGCAGCGCTTGAGACAAGCACGCTCAGTGGCCGAAGATAGCGCGGGCACTAATAGGTGGAGGCGTAGGCGTGGCTAGGCGACGACTTCAGGAGAAGGCTTGCAAGATCCCGAGGCAGTGCGGATAAAGCCTTTAAGAGGTGCTTCTCGTATCAAAGCTGAAGTGAGGACCTCTATCGGCCGATTCTTCGGCTTTTATACTTTTTGACGGATCTGGGATAAGAACGAGAAATTATTTGAAATTATTTAAATTAAAAGCAAATTTTTGTAAATGGCCAAGAAGAAAAGAGTATTTTTGAAGTAAAAACATCAGGCCGGTAACAATATTTGAATAAAAATTGCCACGACAACCAGATAAACAACGAAGTCAAAACATGTCAAATTTTGGTTTTAAGCTCGTAATACAGAAACGGCAAGATTTAAGTGAAAAATGAGATATTATTTATATAGGAAAAAAGGTAGCGCAAGAGCGCGCACGAAACCCGAAATTGTAGAGTTACGGAGAACTAAATAAAAGATCGAAAAAGGTAGACTCCATTGACACCGATTTAAAAAGTGCTGATAACGTGAAAATACGAAGTGAAAATGATTTGTTATTGTGTTCTTATGAATTAAAAATATTACAGGATCCTATGGAAATAAAGGTGATGCAAAATATCCAGTTTTGAGGTGAATGTAGAAAATCAAAAACAGAATGGAAAAATAAAAATAAAATAGTGTAAAATGATATGTAAGTATGTATGTAAGCATAACACTACAACGCTTACCCGCTGATTGGAAGAAAGCTACAGTCGTACCTATTTATAAAAACGGCGATAAGATGAGACCTAGTAATTACAGACTAATAAGTTTGACAAGTATCCTCTGTAAAGCCATGGAAAAGATCATAACTGAAAGATTAAGAGAATTCCTATTACAAGAACAACTGATTTTAGATGAACCGCACGGATTTGTACCAAAGCGATCAATCATTACAAATATGTTACAATGTGTTAATGAATGGGTCTCAGACCATGACAATGGATTACCTACAGATGTGATATATCTTGACTATGAAAAAGCTTTTGACCGTGTGCCATTAAGGCGACTTATATGCAAATTAAAACACTTTGGTATACGTGGGT